AAATAGAAATCAGTGATTTAAATCACTTTTTAAAAATTTTATTTTTATTCAGTTTTTACATATTTCAACATTCAGAATTCCCTTCCTTGGTTTCATAAAACAGATTATATATAATATATAAGGTTAAGTAGACTAATATAATCATGTTTAAAAGTCTGCTTTCCCTCCTTTAACTGTAAAATAATACAGTATTCAATTTACTTTTTTATATTATCCATAATTGAAATCAGAGCTGGGTTGATTTAAATCACTTGATTTTTTATATATTTAAATCAACTTGATTTTAAAAATAAAACTCAGTGATTTAAATCACTTTTTTAAAATGTATTCTGTTTTTACATCTTTCAGAATTCCTTTCCTTGGTTTTATAAAACAGTATATAAGGTTTAGTAGACTAATAAAATCATGCTTAAATTTACTTTTTTTTTCATTATTGAAATTAACATTTTTCTTTTTAGACAAACAAAAGGGCGCGCACACACACACACACTGTAATAAAATGCAAGTTTATCTATGCATAAATTAACCCCCCCCCCCTTCCTCTTAGACTGACATTTTCTTCATTTTTTGTTTGTAGCCATAATTCACTGACATATATATACATATATATATATATACACTATTATATATATAGCAGATTAAGGCTTTCTTTTGCGGTTGCTTAAATTAATCATTAGTTAAAATAAAGACAATGCATTTTGCACTAAAAGAACATACTTATAGCAACCAAAAATCCCAAACTGTGTCGACATTAAAAAAAAAAAAAAAAATCTGATTTAAATTTAAAAAATCATGATTTAAATTTAAAAAATCGATTTTTAAAATTTTATTTAAAAAATTTTAAAAATCACCAACCCTGGAAAAGACAAGCATTAACTTGAAGAGTCATACGTGAGCAAAAGGGACACCCACTATCACTGCGCAGCAGCCAAATGGGTGCCATGAGAAGAGTAATATATTATAAATCTCTAGATCTATATGGTGGCCCGTTTGCTGGCCCTGCGGTAGGGCAAATTTACATTAGTTTCGTAAAAGGACCATACAACTCAGTTAGTAAATGGCAGTCTCAAAGGGCATATATTATGCTTACGTGCTCCTTTTCATGCATTGGCAAAACCTAACAGTAAGCAGGGCTGGTGGTGTTACAAGGGGGCTGTATTGTTCAAGGTGTGACTGCACTGAACCGTTTAATAACAGTTATAACTACACAACTGAGTCCCACTTTTCAACAGTCAAAATATGGTTTCAGTAGCGGCGTAATATTGACTGGGAGAAATGTGGCTTTTGGGTACAGTGCTGGCCTCTCATGCTAAAAGCACTGGGTTCAAACTCGGTCGATGCGCCTGCATGTTCAGTTTTTTTTTGTTTTTCTCCCTGCTTTTTTCTCTTTTTCTATACATACATATATATACTTTTGTCCTTCTTCCTCTGTTCCCCTGACCTTGTAGAGGTAAGATTGAGCATCCTGTCTTCTCAGATATAAGGACAAAATCTTGCAGAGACACTGTGCACATTGCACTCATTAGACCATTTGATGGTTGGAAATCATAGATGAATAGGCTATTATCAAGGAAGTCAAGATCTATAGGGAGGGAAGTAATTCTTTGGCAATCTACTTCAGCGACGTCTATCACCCAGGAAAATCTCCAGTATAAAGCATGCTGTTTTTGCAATCAGCGACTATATCGATGAACAGATGAAGAAGCAAACTATATAATATAAATAAGTCAATCATTGACAGCATACTAGTACAGTCAAACCTGCTTTAACGGAAACCTGTGCGTGACAGAAACATGTCATTACTACGGAATCTCCCCGCTTCCCCTTTATTTCTAAGTCCCTCTATAATTACCTTCTTTAAAACGGAAACCTGTCACAAGCGGAAACAGAGAGAGAAATTCCTTCCTTTCGAATGGTTTTTACCTGTCAAAGAGAAGGAAAATGCTGTGCCAACTCAGCCCTAATTTGAAAGAGTTGGGGTTCCATTGGCTCTAGACTGTAACTTTTACACCATGCCGCCATGCGAGGAAGGGGAGTAGGGGTGCGACATGGGGGAAGATGTTATAATATTACCCCATCCATGTGAGTGTGAGCCCTTAAGGGTGCAAATGGTCAGAGTGGTGTGGCTATGAAATCTCACCAGTGCTTGTGAAAGTGCTCGAGTGGCATTCCAGCACGAAAACTTTCACAGGTAGCCAGAGGTGTGAAATTAGTTTGACCAATGCCTGCCGCCCTGATCATTCCGTCGGCAGAGAAGAGTTCCTCAAATCATTGTTACATGCACAAGAAGGGTGGCATTGGTTGACAGAGTCCAAGATGGAAATATAATATATGCCTTCGTCCTGACTTGAAACAAAACTTCCAAGTTTGGTTCCATCAGCTCAAATATATTTATGCCACACCACCAGGAAAAGAAGGGGGAAATAGGTAGGGCCTATGGTTTAGGGGTAGCTGTTACCCCATCCATATGAGTCTTGAGCAGTACAAATCACGGGCAGGGTGATGTGGGTGTGAAATCTCACCACTGCTTTTATGAGAATGAAAGTGCTCAAGTGCCACTCCAGCTCAGAAAATCAAAGTCCTGAATAGCTGAACGTGAGACTTAAAATTAAAACAACTGCTTACCACCCTGATTTCATTAGAAGCTGATTGTGAAAACTATTTTATTGCATCAAGACGGGTGGGGCCAAGGGTGGAAACAAAGGAAACATTTCATCTTTTCTGTTTTTAATAGGTCAAACAGTAACAGTTGTCCTGTCAGATGTTATTTTATAACATTTATAAAAGCATTGAGGGAAAAGGATAAAGTGTTAAAATCTGATGCATCGACATGCCACTGTCAGAGAGGCTAGGACAGCGTGGAAGGTGTGAAGTTTTCACCACTCTGCTCACCAACTGGACAGGCGACCCTTGATCCCACAGTGTACAGGCTGGCCCTTTCTACTAACCAACCCCCCCCCCCCCTCCCCCCACTGAAAACCCTTGTCCAAAACAGAATGTTTTAAAAGTATCAAAGACTGAATTTTTTCATATCAGCTCATTTGCGATTTCATCTAGATCTAGGACAGGTTTAATAATAAATATATATTTATCATTAATTAGGTGAGATATATAATGATCATCACTACGTTAATATAATCCAAGTCATTATATCAAGGTATAATCCATACAATACCAATGACACTGATTAAAAAATGTATAATTTTAATATCCCCCCCCCCCCAAAAAAAAAAAAGAAAGAAAGAAAACCCCAGGGCCAAAAACTGTACTGTACTGTAGATCAACAACAACAAATCAATCAATCAGCAAACCAAATAGACGAAGGCGTAGATCTAGATAAATCTCATCTAGATTCTAGATCTAAAATCTAGATTAGATCTAGATATTAGATCTAGAATCTAGATAGTTTAAAATAGAGGCTGGACTCTTGAGGTGAACTCTCCAAACAATTCACCTACAAACCAGAGGCCAGAGGCTACCATTTCGTTCAACCATACAATTACAACAGTCTGAATTTTTTTTTTTTTAAATCAGATCTAGAATCTAGTCTAGATCTAGATCTAGATCTAGATCTAGATCTAGACATTAAAAAAGACCTGAGGACGACTCTATCTAAACAGGCAAAACAAACTCAGATTTCTCATTCGTCAAATTGATGTGAGTTAGGCCTGTTAGAACCTAGATTCTAGACCTCGGCCAGAGATTCAGATCAGCTGTTCTAGCAGAAGAGAGAGACTTGAATTGAGAATTTTAAAAGTAGATCAAGCCGACACCGCTATCGCAGCTCTAGCAGGAGAAAATGGGTCGTTTGTCATACTGTTTTTTTATACTAAAACCAGAACCTGTAATATTCCAACACTGAAACACACTTTTCTTCAACAATTACGTCCATAAAGCAAGAAAATAAGCACAAGCAGTGGTCATCGAGGACAAGAAATCGATCCAGTTCCGCACTTTCACTTCTTGCAGCCGAGGTAAATTTGTTAGTTTACATTTTCACAAAGGCTGCCAGGTTTTTTCTTTCGATGCGCAACAATTGTCATTAAAATGTGTTTTGTTGTCTATTTTTTAAATCCAGTCTGCGAGACGTTATCTTCGTAATCGAATCGACCATCTCAAGATCTAAATATTTAGAACATTATTTTTCATTTTAAATATTCTGTCTGAACTCTGACAGGTAGTTGTCACGATAATATATAAAATTATGTATAGAGTAATTTTGACACTAAAAAGATACATATTATACTATAAAACATTTAGGCTGCATTTTTAACGTCGCTGTAAAATTATAACATGTTATACAATGTTTATCATATTCTTTTTCTTAGTATAAGTTTTGGCAAGGGTTTTATATTCTAGTTATTTTAATATTGTATGTTTCAGTGTGATCTGAAGGTCAACTTCTTTCAAGTTACCCTTATTTTTTTCAGTTAGGAAAGAAGAGAGATGGTTTGCCTGTCTGGGGGGGGGGGGGGGGGGGGTTCTGTAGGATAAAAGTATAAAATAGTTTTTAAAAGGACGATAGAATCTTGAAAATCCACACCCACGGCCTTAGGAAACAGGCGCATCCAATATTGCAGACCGCAGAGTGGAAAAAAGAAAGGGAACTGTGTCTCATAACACAAACAATTTTCTTTGAATTGTCTGATCTAAATTACTGTTTCAAACCTAGAAGAGGGAGCACAGTAATGTAAAGAAAACAAATTTGAAGCTTCACGACACGTGTCTGCGCTATCTCCGCTTTATATTTCTCTCGCCTGCTTAAGTGGCAAGCCTAAAAGTAGAGCAAAATATATAAATTCATATTTCGACGAAGTCTGAACTGAAAACGAATCGTTGTTAGAAGTCTCTGATCTGCAAAATCTAAAACACTTATTTTGTTTTATTGATGTAGTAGTTTGAAGAAATTTTCACTAATTAAAACAGGGAAGGGAAAACACACATTGTTATAAAGGGGCGTGAACTCATTATTTAATTCGTTCGGACATTATTAATTCCTAAATTTTTAGTCATTCAATGTCAAAATGGCTGCCCTGAAAGTTGGTAAACATCTGAAGGAACTTCGTTTCCACGTTTGTCTGAAATCCCCTGCAAGTCAAGGGTTAAGGTAATTAATGTGGAGGGCTGGATTGAACTTTGGTAGACCCACTGTGTTTACCTACATATGTATTAATTTATAATGTGCACTAACCCTTAACAACAGCGGAGGGTTTCAGGGGAGCTTGCCCCTCTATCACTGGGCCTGGAACGGTCACGGGTGGTTTTAGGCCATTTAGGATTTAGGGGGGCTTGCCCCCTTGGAAACAATAACAATTTTAAAGCTGACATTCCATATGCCCGAAAAACCGATGCGAACTTCGGGTGATGAAATTCTGGTGCGATGAAAGAACCGTCATCTGACTGAAATCACGGCACCAGTTCAGTCAGAGCAAGCACTCTACAGTCTACGTTGAAAACAAGAGAATTTTGCTGTTTTAGAACTCCTGTTCCTACGAAAACAGGCTTTAAATTGCTTCGTCCAGACTTGATGATGGTCCTTCCTTCATAAGCTTTGCTTTCTTGGGTCGTTTTCCTTTCGAAGCT